TTTAAAATGATATGAAAATTTTTCGGACAAACCTTTTTCCTTATAACCTCAATTGTTGAGGATTTCAAAGATTTTTAGCATCATGTTCTCAACAGAATAATAATAGGCATTAATGAATTTGTGATGCTAAAGATAGAAAAGGTTTTACAGGTGGTCGGAAAGTTTTTAATTTTGAAATGAGATTTGTTATTACTACATTATCGAGAAAGCTTATCAATTGTCCATTATAAACATTTTTGTATATTGTCCAGCGGCGACACAGCCGCAGAGCCACATTTTGGCAACCAACATGTATATACGATAACATTATTGTATGTAAATAATACACTCGGTTTTTCTGCAGCAGCCGCAGAGCCACATCCTAGTTAATGTTATGTTTCTTAAGTGAAGGTTAGAATAGAAATCTCAATACTTAACTTGAAAGGCGACTACGTCAACCGCAGATCAATTTACTCCCCAGTCACATTTGTCGCACAGTGGCCGTAAGTAGACCGCAGATCAATTATATCAGTGAAGGGAAGCCGTAGATTTTATAACTCGGAGTTACAATATTTGTTAATTTCTGCGGTCCCCGTAGAAATCAACAGGCCGTACGTAGCCAGACCGCATAAAGGTCATTTCATTGCAATCCGTTCAAATCGTTAGCTACAAAAAATTGATTGACTAAACGTATGATACATAAATGAGAGCTAAGAAAAAAGCGCAAGAAAAAACAGTGAAATGTACTTGAAGTGGCGATTGTGTTTTCTGCTTACCAGTTACCCAGCTCTAATAGTGCGATATAAGGTGACTTGATTATGCAGATGAGAAGACCCCATTGGTTTCCCGGTCAAACAATCAAAACAGACGGGGACCGGACAAGCTTTGTTTGAACTGTTACTATCAGACTATATCTAGTATTTCTTTGTTTCGTGACCAGAAATCCACTTAACTATAGGGAATATTTTCCGTTATAAAGATAGATTGTTTTCACTTACCAATCATTCACTAACATGTGCTGTCATATTCAGCTCTGGCCTTCATGTCAAAAGGGGGAAGGGTAACCCCCACACTGAATAAATTCAAAGTTCGCGCACCCTTCTTTTTCATTGATGATAGAACAGTTTACGATAAAACGCAGAAAACATTGAAATTACGAACGCGGTACGTTCGGGGTATTTCTCTCGGCCTTGGAATTACTTAAGAAAAATAGACCATCCATAGACGACATGGCAACGACATCTAATTTTCGTCGAGTGAATCATTTCCAAAGATAATCAATTTTAAGAGAAAATTGCACATAATAGTTTTGCGAGACGACCTCTATCTAACACAAGTAAAATTCTACTAAAGAGATCGCTCAAAAATATTGAAAAAATGTAACCATTTTTCTCATCAATTTTAAGACATACTTCTCATGGATCGAATCACGATTTCTTTACAGAAAATAAGACTTTGCTTTATTATGTGGTTACGATATATGTTATTTTGCTGCTTAAAAAACGTTAAGTCATTCTATTTAAGCACTGAAAAACGGTACAAAATATAAGATGGAATTTCATCGCTTCGCCAAAAAAGTTCTACAAAATGCGTTTTTCATAATTCAACAATAATATTTTAGAATATAAAAATTCATCACACCTCCGATATTGTCTGAAAATTCCATAATGATCGTGTAGAAAATAAAAAAGTTGTACTCATCTAAAAAGCTCTCTCTATCGAGCCTCTTCTTTTGTATATAATAGTTTGCCTGTAAAGTTGGGCAAGCAGTCTATTACGTTGATAGTATAAGATATTGATTTTGCAAAGCTCTTATGGGCTAATTCTACAATATGTACAGTAACATATATGTAAGGGTGCAAGTATGTAGTCCAGTATGTATTATACAAAGGAGTATTTTGGTCAACTGAATACATCTGATAAACACTACATGAAGTGTTTTCTATGCAATGATTATATACAGGCTGCTTATTCATTGTTACTGCGAATTTCAAAAGCTTCCAAATTGTGTGGAATAGAGCATGCAATGTTTTTCAGTTTCAAGCAGGTTTTAGTACATTCTGACCAATTGTATTTTCAGACTTATTCATTTCATGATTATGTAATACTGACCTACTTATCTGCTCAACATGTCTTTAATGGAATACCTTGTGGTATTTTAAGTCACATGGTACATGACTGACAAATCACATGCTGATTATCACCATACTAAGAAATAATAATATATTTTCTTAAAAAAAGCTACTCAGAGAAGCATCATGTTTACAAAGTCTGATGAACATTTTAGAGAAACTTCTATCTCAGTAAAAGTACAAAATCAGATGAATATTACAATATTACTTTTGAATTGATAAAATATTGAATGCTGTTTTCGTGCATTACCTGTAAATAAATCTCTCGCAAACATGTGCCATTAATTGTATTTCACATTTATTAGCAGATTAAGTTATACACTCCCCTCCATGTGTTTGGCAAACATGTAAATGGGTGCAATAATAAACAAATATTGAATGCTGTTTTCGTGCAATACCTATATATTTCTGAAGGATGTATTCCGGTTGCCCTTCGGGCTGCGTGGAATACACCCTCAGATATGCACTCAACATCATTCTGCAATATTTGTATATTGATATTCCGACAAATTAAAATTACATTCATGCGGTACCATAAAAACACAAATGTGCCACCTTTTTGCGATGTGTCTTACAAAGATTTGCCGCACCTTAAACCGTTTTCCTTACTTCAAGTATTCAATAAATCTTATCATTACAAAAAGGGTTTAAGACGTTGTGTTATATTTTGCTAAATGTATCATATGAAATGTAAGGTATGCAATCTTGCATAGACGGCTGCATAGATAGGCCAGTTTTTGGAGCTGGGCTCTTTTTATTGCATAAATCTGAGACATTTTTACCCATCTTGCTTCATCAAGCTTCGGACCCATCCTCATCGATAGAACGTAGTGATTGAGCGTAGGAAACGACGATGCTTTTTACCACTTCCATCTTCATGACCAGATACTCATCTTGTTTTACCTGTTTTACATTACGATTTGGATCGGGGTGTTTTGGAAATGCAAAAATTCTTAACCTAACCCAAATTCAAATGACATTTATTTTTATAAACTTAATTGTAAATATTTTTTACTTTACAAAATGTTGATTTGTTCATCTGATTTATGAGCGACAGCGTATGTCTAGGGTGTGTATTTTGATAGCAAAGCAGGAGATAACTCACGCCCTGGTAAAGTGTGTGAGATATACTTTTATAAAACCTCAATAAGCAGTATAAATAAATCTCTCAAAAACATATGTCATTAATTTTATTCATCATTTATTAGCAGATTAAGTTAAAATTGATTGGACGCCACGATCTGACGTATGTATGCACATTCAGTGTTATATAGCCTAAGATATATAAATTACCCCATGTGACATTAGCAGAATATTTAACCGTATATAGTCGCAATTCCTCAACAGCACATCGTGAATAAGCTAAGAAGGATTGAACATGGCGGGTGAGTAGATTATTTTAACTTTAGAAAAAGTAGCTAAAATATGGAAATATTTTAACCATGCGATTGCTCAGTCAATTGTATTCAAATACTATAATAATATATAATTCACATTGTCTGTTAATCCCTATTTATGTAACATGTAACATGTTATGTAGATACCTAAAACGGTAGCTTTAAAGCATTGGGAGTAAGTCGCCCCTCCATCTCTCTTATATATTAAAGCTATTTTTAGATGATTTTGTTTGCACCCCGCTTAGCTGTTATAACCAGAAATTAATAAATCAAAGGAAGTAGTGCGCTTTCCATTATGATCTCCCCATGAAAAAATCGTTCATTTGATTTTTTCAAAATGAGTATACTGCTTCCATCAAATCATTTATATGCACACTAGTATCTTGTTGACCTATATTGAGCACTTTATTGATGCATGGGCCACTTATTAGGGTCATAATTCAATTATGAAGTGTAGAGGCATTGATTCCAAACCAGAAAGTATTTTTGTGTCTGTCAAAATCTATTTGCATCCTACATATCCCTCCATCGTATCCAAATATGTTATTAATTAATGAAACATAACAGTATAATCTTTGGATTTACAAAGTTGTATGGCATTTTACAAATGTAAAAGTTGCTTTTGAAGCATTTTTCTCTTAATTTGAAGTATGACGTAAATCGATTGCAAACTTCATATTTGGACATCTGATGTGATATACCATTTGTGTCATATTGTGAAATTTAATTTGCAATCGATTCAGGTCATAGTGAATTTTGGTATTTTTTGTAAAAATCACCCTTGCTGGACTTAATGACCTCAACCCCAGCCCATCTGGTCCCAAATGCTTAAATATTTTCTAATGTATTATGTGACATTGTATTCTTTATGTTACACCTATAATTATTCATTTTATTGATGGGGAAATCATAATGGAAAGTGCACTAGATCCTTTCAAACCTGTTGTTGAATTAGTTCAGGGGATGCAACATGCCAAAACATCATTCGAGAAGCACCTTTCTTTTTTATTCTTTAAATCAAATTAAAATTAAAACTGCATGGAAATATCTCAAACACATAGCTGTTATATTTCTTCTCGTATTGCAACTTGAACAAATAAGAGTATTTTCCGTAATTTCGATTACAACCGCTTTCGAAAAATTAAAAAATGGTCACCGTGTGATTTACACAGAATATCAAATACCGATAATCAGCAGTGCTCTTACATCTTTGAAAATTTTAAGTTGAATCCAATTAAAAGAATTATCTCAAAATTCAAAATGGCCACTATGCATTTTACTCGGTATGACTAAAATCTAATAAGATAGTGTCATTAGTCCGTTCTCGCAATCTTAAAAATTGTGTTGAATGGATAAGCTATTTCCTTGAATTTTAATGACAAGTTTTGTATCGTACCCGCCCATGAGCATAAACGTACGCCCATTAACTGAAAACGAATACAATATTGCACTTTGCAAAGTGCGATAAAACGTTGATATTTATCTCTTTTCAGACAAACCAATTCGAATCATTATAATTGGTAAAACTGGGGTCGGTAAAAGTGCCACAGCAAACACGCTCATCGGCGATAAGAAACGATTCAACGAAAGAGCTAGTATAACTCCAATAGCCCCTAAATGTGTTTGTGAGACATTGAATCATGATTCAAATAGCTATAAGATAATCGACACGCCTGGATTTACGAATTTTAATCAATTGAATTCGGCAGCTGCAAGAGAAATCGCAAAGTCAATGCAGTATGGCGCTCCTGGTCCACATGTCTTTCTTTTTGTAATACGGTTTGGTCAATTTACACGGAAAGATCGCGACCTAATAGAATTTATTAAGAAACTATATGGCGAAAAGAGTACAAAGAATCATGGAGTTGTTGTAGTCACTCATGGCGATGACATTAAACGAAATATAAACAATGAATGTGTTAAAAGCGGGGAGGTCGATGCATTTGTGAAAGATTTAGTTGATAGTGACGAGGACGCAAAGGAACTGCTCAAAGCGTGTTCCGATAGAATGTTTGTCATTGACAACAGATCCACAGATCGATGGACTGAGGCATCTTCACGATTTTATAAAAACATCCAAGAGTGGGGTCTTGGCTTGTCTTACTGTAACGATTTACATGGCGTTGCCAAAATGATGGAACAGGAGAGAACAAAAGGAAACCTGGAACCACCGAAACACGTGTTGGGCACTATTCAGAGGGCTCTTCGTCAAGATGAATCGCAGGGAAGTGGAATAGCCATGGCGATGGGAATCGTTTTTGTTGGAGTAAGCGCATTTGTTCTCTTACGTGGTCTGTACAATTGGTTTTATGGTAGTATACACTATATACCTACAAGTTTATCAACAGCATGGTCCCTTGCAAAGTTATGCCGCAACGGATATGACCAGTTGACTTCACACAATACTACACAGAGGCACGATGCTACATAAATATGCAACTAATTGCAGCAATAAAAAGACGAATCGATTCTATTTACACTGTTCCACAACTACACAATGCGTGTCTACAGGGTGTCCCGAAAGTATGGGGCCCCCCCTAGGCAGACATATTCCAGTGTCCTCATAGTATGTGTCATATATCATTTTAAAGCTTATCCAAAGTTACATTGATTTGCCAAGTATCATGGTTTAACTCCCAAATGGGAAAAAGTTACAGGCATTTCAAAATTTAGTGTTTGGTCAAAATTAAGTTCAATTTTACACCAAATCACTCGTCAATGTGTCCTCCCGGGCCATCTTAACAGCAGCAATTCTTTTCGGGTCGGATGCATATTGAGTTGGAAAAAGAGAACGGTGAGGGTAGAAACTCTAAGGAAACTCTTCTAAAGTCCCTTAACAGGTTTTAATAGGGTTATAAAATTCCACACCCCCATTTTAAGGGCTTTTAAGGTCATATCTGAAAATAATTGCTGCTGTTAACATGGCCAAGGGGGGACATATTGACTAGTAATGTGACGTAAAATTGAACTTTATTTTGACAAAACACTTACTTTTAAAATGACTATAACTTTTTCCCATTTGAGAGTTAACCCATGATACTTGGCAAATCAATGTAACTTTGGATAAGCTTTAAAATGATATATGACACATACTATGAGGACACTGGAATATGTCTGCCTAGGGGGGGCCCCATACTTTCGGGACACCCTGTATATTAGCCAGAAATCACAAACTTCAAACTCTGTGCATACCATCCTTACTCCATACCTATAATTGGAATCGCGATGACTTATTTAAAGGGATTCTGGGTGATAGCTATCAGAAAGGACAAACTATTGCTTCTGTGACGAGATCAAACGACGTTGACACGTTCTTCACCCTACTTAATTTGTAATTGAACAATCGACACAATACTTGTACATACCATATTTTCGCTGATATCGGACAAATTCATAACCAAATAAAACCAAGATACATATAAACAAATAGCATAATACAATATTAGTATCAGCAATTACATTTTTCTTATCAATATTTCAAATCCAAAGGATGGTTCCCCTTTTTATATTTGCTAATAACATAAATGTCCGGGGTACTATTGATTGAAACGTAACTTGACTCTATATCCAATACCTCCAAAGTTTCCCAATTTTTTCCTCAATTACAATATGAAGAAGATTGATGATAAATTTGGTGAATTAAAACAAATGTTATTCCAATGTAAACCAATTGGAAATGGTGGGTTCAGGGCAAATCAGAAATCCGGATATCTATTCAGTAAAAGATTTAGTAAAAATATTTTGATATATAAAATTGAATAGTCTAACTTTTTGTACACTAAGTGTTTAGTTTACTTGATGAATACTAAAGTTACAGAGCTTCAAAGTCATTTTTGAAAATAAATTTTCGACACATGTGTTTGACTTTAAATACCTATAACTCATAAACCAACATTTCCCATTGGCTAACAAGGGAATGTAGATTTTCAAAATTCATCAATTTTATCATCAATTTTCGACCTATTGTAATTAAGGAAAAACTTGAGAAAATTTGAAGGTATTTGAAATAAAGTCCATCAATAGTATAAGTGTTTTCATCATAGGTTAAGTAAATACAAATTCAAAGGTAAAGAGGCTTTAACACGTAATCCAATGCGGAGCTAAAGTTGCCAAACTTATGGAGAGAGGTGTACATTTTCACATACATTATCTTCTTTCTTTTTCATCGTATACAGTAGTTTATTTGTTAGGTATATTTTATATATTATCTTATAAAAAAGGACTTAAGTCTTCTGTACTTGTTAACCTCTTGACTACCCAGAGTGACGAGATTTCTCGTCACCTCAGAAATGACACAAAAATTGTTTTAAAATGTCTAGGATTGGCACCGAATGTACATATCCTGTACATATCCTGTGTCAGGATTTATACAGGATTGGCGCGTGTAGGAATCCAGTATGAATCCTGAATCTGGATTCATACAGGATACGCTCGCAGTGTGCCAATCCTGTATGAATCCTGATGCCTGGATACATACAGGATTGGCACACAATGTACATATCCTGTACATATCCTGTGTCAGGATTTATGCAGGATTGGCGCGTGTAGGAATCCTGTATGAATCCTGAATCTGGATTCATACAGGATACGCTCGCAGTGTGCCAATCCTGTATGAATCCTGATGCCTGGATACATACAGGATTGGCACACAATGTACATATCCTGTACGTATCCTGTGTCAGGATTTATACAGGATTTGCGAATGTAGGAATCCAGTATAAATCCTGCTCCTGGATTCATACAGGATACGCTCGCAGTGTGCCAATCCTGTATGAATCCTGATGCCTGGATACATACATGATTGGCACACAATGTACATATCCTATACGTATCCACGCGTCAGGATTTATACAGGATTGGAGCAGGTAGAAGTCCAGTATGAATCCTCCCTCCTGGATTCATACAGGATACGCTCGCAGTGTGCCAATCCTGTATGAATCCTGACGCCTGGATACATACAGGATTGACACACTGTGTGCATATCCCGGATTACTTATCCTGCACATAATTTACAAATTATTGATTGCTATTGTTACTAACATTTATTACAAAATTCTTTAAACAAGAAAATGCAGCAAACTCCTCGAGTCGAGGTCTCCAAGTCCAAAAAATTCCTGACCCTATCATGTATCTGTTGATTATCCTGTTTATAACCAATTCAAGAGCGTGGCACTGAGCGAACCTATATGCCTATTTATTATTATTTGTTTAGTTGTTGGTTGGGTAACATGTTTATGACGTCACAAATGATGCGAAGAATCTTTAAACCAATTAGTGAAGTCTATATTAATTGTTTTAGTTGTTGATGTGGCAATACGTGTCTGTGACGTCACGGGTGATTGCATCATATTTTAGAAACGCCATTTTACGACATTGCATAATTTTAGCTGATTTTGTCCATTTCACTTTATTTGAAAGACTTCTAAAAATATAATAATGAGTCAGTATTTTTTCTTATAAATATCTATATTTGAAATTGAGGTCAAAGTCCGAAGATTTGATCAACTGATTGAAATCTCATTTTAAAGAGGTGAAGAAGTGAATAATTACAGGAGCAAACGTGATCAATGGTTCGAGGTCTCCCGCAAAGTAGTCGCTACGCTCCTACTTTGCGCTGCCTTCGGCAGAGGAGACCTCGAAAAAATCCATGTCAAGATAAAAAAACAATATTTCAATTTTTTCAATCAAACAAATAATATACTTTCAAAAGTACCTGTACTAGTATCCAAAAGTGAATTTCATTAAATTAAGAATGAACATTTTGCCATTATTCACAATTATTTTTTCCCTGGACTATTGTGATTTGATATTTGATGCTTAAGAAGCTATTAAGAAGACAAATGGTATACAAATAGCATATATGACATACTTTTAAAGAGCCTAATGTCTGCAACCTTTTTATAACAGACTTTCAATTAAAAGCCCATTATACCACACAGTCGCAATGGTGGAGGGATTTGGATATTTGGAATTCCCCCGGCAATTTATTATTACTTATCTGTTTTCAATATTGTTGGTATTTTGTAACCCTTTAATATTCAATTAGCGCTCCAAAAAGTATTGTTTTCAAAAGGTGTAGGTCAAAAGGGTCAAATCGAGGTCAACATGACATTTTGTGATAAATTGTTAATGTGCGAAAGTACGAAATACGTAGTACAGGTATCAATGTTCTACGAATCTAGATTTTATATCACTTGAAACAATGCATAGCCCTTGGTGAGAGGGGGGGGATTACAGACATCTAACATAGCGTTTTAGTTATGTATAATCATTAATCAAAACAAATAATACCAATTAGTCCATCTTTCTGATTACATTTTGTCCATGTATTTCTGGACTTATTTACTTATGATTTAGCCAATATGATACAACAACAAATTAACTTCACTTGCGTCAGCCCTTCATCTCCATGTAATTGTATTCATGTTCGATGGGGAATAAGAATTTGTTTACCCGGCACCCCTGATCATTATCAAGCGCCTTCTAGATATCAGGCCCGTCACAGGCACATATCCAGGGGGTTCGATCTACCCCCCCCCTCCCCCGGCAAAAAATCTTTCAAAAGCATGTGGTTTTCACCATTCTGAACACTTTTTAAGTGATTTCGGCCATTTTTATACCAAATTTGGCACAAGTAAACCCCCCTTGGAATTTTTCAAGAAGTGAACCTCACATGGCAAATCCTAGCTACGGGCCTGCGTCATACTGCATGGCTAAAACTCCGGGCTTTCGCTAGAGAGGCGTGCCTCAGAATACCCATGACCCGGAGGTTAACTTAAAAGTAACGCAAGGTAGATAAAACTGTATTTAGTCAAAATAATGTACATGTACAGTATATGGTATCCAAACCCCTAAACTGCACGGCTTCTCGCCAGGCATTTTGTCATCGCTCTACCACTCCGTCGCCACCATAATTTCTCACGATTTGAACTGTCATATGATATTATAATATTGAGTTTATTATTTTGCAATTATTGATGAAGCTTTATCGGGGATAGAGAATTCCTTATACATGGTTATCGTTTACTCTGGAGTTCAGATGATAAAAGAGGCAACAGATGAACTCTCTTGCTAAAACCATTGAAAGGATAATTGCTATTGTTATAATTAATAATTATAATTAATAATACTATTATTATTAAATTCAAATTCACTAATGATGATTGATAATTTAGCTACAAGCCATGAGTGTGTGTATTTTGGCTGAAATAGAGGCGGGGGGATAGTCTAGAGGCAAGATTTTTTGATTCCATATACCGTACTTGTTTTCAGGCATCATACTATTTCCATGAGTGAGTGTCAGATTTTAAGACCCGTTTTCCTTCTTTTCCTTCCCATGCGAATTTCAAATACAATTTGCAAATGCATCCTAAAATCTGATTATGTTAATGCTCATCCCCCCTCCTCCCATACTCGTTTCCCAGTTTGATTTTGTCGTCGACTGGTGCCTAGATGCATTTGCAGACGCAACGCACATTTCAGGGCGCACATTTCATGTCATTTATGAA